AAAAAGGGCAAAAATGCAAACAACATGAGCCACAGAAATTACCCACTATATGGAAAATAACCACCCTTAGAAAAAGATAACGTGCTCATGTAAGAAAAAATCTGAGCAAGTGTGACGTCATCTGTTTGTCTCGAGCCAGACATTTTAATGTTCATACATGTAGCTACTAGTATAATGAGCTACATAGGGAGGTTTTTAAAATCCATGAGATGTCTTCAGTTAAATATAATTCCTCTGAAAAAAATGAGGAAAATTACTAATCACTACTGCTTTTAAACATCATTACCATTACAAAAAATACAACAACTTAGATAACTTTATGACAAAGACAGAAAGTTGCAATGAGTTATAGAGGGAGCCTGTGATAGTCGTTGAGATATCTCTGATTATGAAATAATGAGAAAGAAAGAGATATTTCTTCTGATTAAAGCTTTTAAACAAAACGTCCTTGCCTTAAGAAAATAAATTAAAACTAAATTATATGAGAGAAAAATAAAACTATATTAAAATAATAAAAACTCCTAATTAAAAAAAAAAGAAAGAAAGAAAAGAGAAATAAGAACGTTTATGTAAAAAATATATATATATAAGAGAAAGAAAGAAGAGATAGTATATAAATAATTGTCATTTGAATTAATAAGAAATATTAAAAAAAAATTACCTTTAGTTAAAAAAGGGGGATAGTCAGAAGAAAAAAAGATCTGCTTCTTTAAGCTTTAGAAAAAAAATAAAAAGAGAAAGGAAGAAGAAAGACAGAATATCTACCATAAAAATACCATACAATGGATAATTTCTGTGGTTATTATGACTGAACTATTTCAGCTTTGTTTGATACTGAAACTGAGCATGGAATATTCCATCTCTGTGATCATTACATTATGCTAGTAACAGGTGTGACCGGATCGTTATGGGATGCTTAGTCCTCCAAGGCATCTGATCCCACAGCTGTGATTTCCTGTGATCCTTGTTTTATGCCTTATTTACAGATTTGAAATGATTACAGTTTTTTGTTTTGGATCATTCACTGTTCGTCATCTTCAAAACATTCATTGACTCAATTTCTCACAGAATTTTCTGCTTTTAAAAGCAACAGTGGATCATTCACTGTTCGTCATCTTCAAAACATTCATTGACTCAATTTCTCACAGAATTTTCTGCTTTTAAAAGCAACAGTATTACCATTGAAATGAATTAAAAAGGGCAAAAATGGAAACAACATCAGCCACAGAAATTACCCGTTATATGGAAAATAACTACCCTTATAAAAAGATAACGTGCTCATTTAGGAACAAATCTGAGCAAGTGTGACGTCATCTGTTTCTCTCGAGCTAGACATTTTAATGTTCATAGCTACTAGTATAATGAGCTACATAGGGAGGTTTTTAAAATCCATAAGATGTTTTCAGTTAAATGTAATTCCTCTGGAAAAAAATGAGGAAAATTACTAATCACTACTGCTTTTTAAACATCATTACCATTACAAAAATGCAACAACTTAGATAACTTTATGACAAAGACAGAAAGTTACAATGAGTTATAGAGGGAGCCTGTGATAGCCGTTGAGATATCTCTGATTATGAAATAATGAGAAAGAAAGAGATATTTCTTCTGATTAAAGCTTTTAAACGAAGCATCCTTGCCATAACAAAATAAATTAAAACTAAATTATATGAGAGAAAAATAAAACTATCTTAAAATTTAAAAAAACAACAACTCCTAATTAAAAAAAGAAAGAAAAGAGAAATAAGAACATTTATGTAAAAAAAAAGATAAGAGAAAGAAAGAAGAGATGGAATATAAATAATTGTCATTTGAATTAATAAGAAATATTTTAAAAAATTACCTTAAAAAAAGGGGGGATAGTCAGAAGAAAAAAGAGCTTGCTTCTTTAAGCTTTAGAAAAAAAAATAAAAAGAGAAAGGAAGAAGAAAGACAGAATATCTACCATAAAAATACCATACAATGGATAATTTCTGTGGTTATTATGACTGAACTATTTCAGCTTTGTTTGATACTAAAACTGAGCACGGAATATTCCATCTCTCTGATCATTACATTATGCTAGTAACAGGTGTGACCAGATCGTTATGGAATGCTTAGTCCTCCAAGGCACCTGATCTCACAGCTGTGATTTCCTGTGATCCTTGTTTGATGCCTTATTTACAGATTTGTATTGATTACAGTTTTTGTTTTGGATCATTCACTGTTCGTCATCTTCAAAACATTCATTGACTCAAATTCTCATAGAATTTTCTGCTTTAAAAAGCAACAGTATTACCATTGAAATGAGTTAAAAAGGGCAAAAATGCAAACAACATGAGCCACAGAAATTACCCGTTATATGGAAAATAACTACCCTTATAAAAAGATAACTTGCTCATTTAAGAAAAAATCTGAGCAAGTAAGACTTCATCTGTTTCTCTCGAGCCAGACATTTTAATGGTCATAGCTATAATGAGGTACATAGGGAGGTTTTTAAAATCCATGAGATGTCTTCAGTTAAATATAATTCCTCTGAAAAAAATGAGGAAAATTACTAATCACTACTGCTTTTTAAACATCATTACCATTACAAAAATACAACAACTTAGATAACTTTATGACAAAGACAGAAAGTTACAATGAGTTATAGAGGGAGCCTGTGATAGCCACTGAGATATCTCTGATTATGAAATAATGAGAAAGAAAGAGATATTTCTTCTGATTAAAGCTTTTAAACGAAACTTCCTTGCCATAAGAAAACAAATTAAAACTAAATTATATGAGAGAAAAATAAAACTATCTTAAAATTTAAAAAAACAACTCCTAATTAAAGAAAGAAAGAAAAGAGAAATAAGAACATTTACGTAAAAAAATATGAGAAAGAAAGAAGAGATAGAATATAAATATATATAATATGCTAGTAACAGGTGTGACCAGATCATTATGTGATGCTTAGTCCTCCAAGGCACCTGATCCCACTTCTGTGATTTTCTGTGATCCTTGTTTTATGCCTTATTTACAGATTTGAATTGATTACAGTTTTTGTTTTGGATCAATCACTGTTCGTCACCTTCAAAACTCTCTTTGACTCAATTTTTCATAGAATTTTCTGTTTGAAAAAAAAATAGTATTGCCATTTAAATGAACAAAAAGCAGAAAACACTGCAAGCAATATAAGCCACAGAAATTACCCTTTCTACTTAAATATAAAGAAAATAAATAAAATATGCTCCCCGGCCTAAATTCCCATACTTCACCTTTATAGTCACCTACAATTTTTTTTTGTTTAGTTTCTTATTCACGCATGCCTTTCTAGACCTATTGTTGTATATAAAATCACCTATATGTTTTTGTAGTCTCTGTACGCTATTGTAAAATGGTGAAGAGATTCAATAAATGATTGATTGATTGACTTACTTTTTTAAAAATAAAACTTGTCATTAAAATTTTTCTTGTGGAAGTGACATTTTCTTGACAGGCTCCTTCATCTTCATGCAAGCACTACACTACCTCTCTCATCTTAAAACTTACATATATGGGCAAAATACCATCCTATTTCAACACTTCTATAGGCCTAGTAAATTTCTGGCAAGTACTTAAAATCTCCCTCATTTAAAATTTCATTGTAAATACAGATAAACACAAACAACCTCGCTCGTTTTAAAATTAAATATTCAGGCAAGAACTAACTACCTCCCTAATGTTTTTTAAACTCTGATATTCAGAAGAGCGTTAAATACCTCCCTCATTTTGAAACTAAACAATTCAGGCAAGTAATATTTTAAAATAAATATTTAGCAATAAAAACCTCCCTCATATAAAATTCCCATAGTAAATGTCAGGCAAGCACTCAATACCTCCCTCCTCTTAAAACTTAAAAAAATATTCATGCAAGTTCTATGTACCTCCCTGGTTTAAAACTTCTATAGCTAATACAGGAAAATACTAACAACCTCCCTCCTTTTTAAGTTAAATATTCAGGCAAGAACTATCTCCCTCATTTTAAAACTTGAATATTCGGGCAAGCACGTTAAATCTAAATGTTCAGACAAGAAACTAAATACATGTACCTCCCTCATTTTTTAAAGTTAAATATTCAGACAAGCACTAAATACGTACCTCTTTTTTTTAAATATTCAAACAAGCAGTGAATACCTCAGTCAAATTTAAATCTAAATATTCAGACAAGCACTAAATAACTTCCTATTTTTAAACTTTAATAAATACATGTACCTCCCTATTTTTAAACTTAAATATTCAGACTAAATATTACTAAGTACTAAATATCTCCTTTACTTTTAAATTCAAATATTCAAGTAAGCACTAAAAACCTCCCTTGTATTAAATCTATTAATTCATGATCAAGCACGGATTTAAAAAAAAAACTCCTGTTTTTAGCTTTAAAATTCAGACAAGTGCTGATTTAAATACATATATAAAGAAAAGAAAACTTCCCACAGTTACCTAGATTTCTTATGTATAGAAACAATCTAAGGTAATAATAAGCTAAAATTAGTTTCTTTTCAGTGTTCACTGTTCAGGAAATCACTGTTAAAAATACCTCCACCGCTTTTTAGCTTAAATAATATATCAAAAAAAAAAAACTTTAAACATGTATAAAAAATGTTCAAAACAAAGACATACAAATAAATTTTGATTCAATCTTAAGAATAAAATAAACTTCGAAAAGGAAATTTAAGCAAAAGGAAAAAAGCATAATTATTAAATTAAACCTCAATACTTCTAGATAAAAAATAATAATTAAATGCTCTCTGAATGATTCTGTCTCATTCAGATAAAATAGTAAGCCTAAGTAATCTTAAACAATTATCTAGCAAAATGAATTCTTCTATCATCCTAGATATATCATGGAAAATGTCATGGTTATACACTACAATAATACATCAAATTCCTACAACCATCCAAAAATTATAAAGGTTCTTTCACATAGTATTCCTGGTGGTTTGTCCTGCTGCAGGCCATATGAGAAATCTTAGAAAAACATTGGTGGCAATAAAATATCCAGAGTCCATCTCTAGGTCACATGGAAACTTTTGGAAAAACACAAGTAGTGAAATTATCTCCCATAACTGACACTGCTCCAAGGTCCATCAGAATTCTTTGAAACACATCCATAGGGAAATATCTCTGGACTCTATCCCCATAGCTCACGTTTGAGTAATACTGGGCAAGGCTCCCGTTATCCAACACTATAGAAATACAATGAATCCCATAATTTTTTTTTACTATCATAATGATACTTTGTGTATATTTAAAGTACAAGTTTTCAGGGTATATGTAATGATAATGATAGAAGCATCCCCATTTTACCTACAAGAATGTTTTAAGACTAGAAAAATTCAAATATTTTTTTTTACTATACATGACAATTGTATTTCAAATACAAAGTACATGTAAATAAATTAGCTAATGTTAATAATAGATCGAGACAGAAACAACATTTTTTGCCAAAATAAGGATCATTAATAAACATATTACCTGGTAGTCTGGTAGTTTAAGATCAAACATGATGAATGTTGGCTTTATGTATATTTTTCTGCTTGTGAATGGCACCAAATATTGGCTCACAGTAATTGTTGACTCAGTGACAGACCACTTTCACCTAAAGCCTGAAATGATAAAAAGAACCTTGAGAAAAACTTAAGAATAATTTAAATGTTTTTTAAAATAATTCATATATGATCTACAGTATATCAAAGGTCAATTTGAAATTCAAAGTTTTAATATGAATCTTCCATATAAGCAAATTCCAGGTTTACAAGGATCAGGGATTTTGCCAGATTCCCAAGGGAGGGTGCTACAAGATTGCATTTATGTCTCAAACAAAGAAATAATTTCACTATATATCACTTCATAGCTTGATTTAATTTTATGAACTCTTTTTCTTACCTGTCTGATGAACACAACAAAGGCTACAGAGGTGACTGGTAGAATACAGGTATACAGGTGTCAAAACTCTCCATTGATGACCAGACTGCATACCGCATTGTATGTTGTGAATTATTGATCTTTAACAGGGGAAACTACTCCTGAAATCAGAGAAATTGTAGTCAAAATAAGAGATATCTGCTCCTCTTTAGTTCTCACACAAGGAAGTAATTATGGTCTTCCGTTCGTATCCAAAACACAACTTGACCTAGATATTCATGTGATATATCTGTATACCATATTTCATTTCAGTATGTGCAACGGTTGTGAAGAAAATGAACAGAAACTAATGCCCTGTTCACACGATGAGTTTAATTTGCAGTAAATTGATGCCAAGTAAACTAATGCAAATCAAATAAATGCGAATTAAATTGCCTTCATATGACAGCTAATACAAAGTAAACTAATGTAATGCAAATTAAAATTTTTCTACTAACAGTAAGTCTATTATGACGTCATTTGTAAATCACGTCATGTGTGCAGAACCATCCTTTGATACATCATGTAGTGGCTACAGGTATTCATTGATTTTAGTGATTTACATACTTTCCCTCAATTTTTTAAACAAATATAGCACAAATACCTATATACCCTAAAATCTTGAAAATAAGACAGATTTAATAATAAGCCGGTTTTGAAAATAAATCACCTATTTCTTGCATTAAAAATTACTCGAAAATAAGCCAGTTTTGAAAATAAGCCGGTCATGACAATGCCATTTAGGAAAGATGTTAAACGTTTGACGATTTCCTCGTCTTAAAAATTTGACGAGTGAAAACTTTGACGATATTCATTTACTGTGCAAAATAAAAAGTTATCTTTCTTTAATTCATTTAACCTTTACCAATTTCTGCATACGACATATTTCAAACGAGTACGAGTAACGACGTCATAGTACGAACTAAGTCTGTAGCTACTAATGAACGTATTTAAAATTACTAATAAAGGGTTGTTTATAAAGTTATTTTTTTTTTACCAGTAATCATGTTACGCTGGCTAAAAAAACTTAATTGCGGAACCAGCTAAAATGGTGATTTTTTTTTTATAAAATTGTCAAAACAATAATTATCTCATCTGGACCTGTACAAGCTAACGATGTGTTATAAGGTGGTAATAATTAAATAAGTAAATGGATAAAAGGAAGTTTTTATTTGTAAAGCATTTAACTGCCAGGTAATATTGCCCGAGACAAGAAACCTGCTGTTCAGCAGGGCTTGGTAGTCATTACATTTCAATGTACCGTATAAGTGAGTTGTTTAAATATGTGTTTGTTTGATTAATTTATCAAGTAATCCATTTGCAAGCGGATATCTTATATATTATTTTTACTTTTTTAAAACAAGTTTTTATTTCATGTAAATTCATATGCAGTATACAATGAAATGTAATTAACTTTTCGGGATCAGCATTTTCAAAATATAAAGTAGACGATTCTAAAGAACATACATCGGGAAACGCCATTCAATACAAAAGTGCTCTCTTCTCTTACCAGTTTTTTCCTTTGATAATAAGCTGCAATTTGAAAATAAGCCGGTCTTGAAAATAAGCCCCCACTTTCTTACCAAAACTTAAAATAAGCCGAGGCTTATTTTGAAGATTTTAGGGTATAACCACCAACACGTGTCCTGTGACTTAATTCTGGCCTTCGGCATGCATCAAAATTTAATTCGAATTAGCTTCGCTTAGCGTTCACACGGAGCTAATGCGAAGTAATTTAATGCGCAGTAAATTAATACGAATTAAACTAATTCACATTAAATTCTCTGTGTGAACGCTAAGCGAAGCTAATTCGCAGTAACTTTACATTTAATTCGAATTAAACTCTCCGTGTGAACAGGGCATAAGTGTACCGACAGACCGACCAACAGCAGCAAAGCTATATGCCCTCCCTTCTTCGAAGGGGGGCATAATAAATGTCTCATATGGCTTTTAAGAAAGAAAATTGACAGTATAAACATACCAACCCTGAAATAAACATGGATTTCACATGCTGATAAACAGCCTACACACCATCTAGGAAGTTGTATCATGCACACCTGAAAAAAAGAGTTCCCTTTAATTCAGTGGCATAATTCTGCTACATTTATGATATTTCTAATACACGAGTCCAAATTTAATACAGAAGGCCTAAAAATTTTGCCAAAAATTGATAAATAAATTGTTATATTTTTCCATTGAAATTGAGCTTTAAAGCATCATAATATTTAAGAAATAAAGTCCGCGTTTACGTGGATGTTGCAGAATAACCTCCGAGGTCGAGAAATGTTGTTTGAAAGATAAAAGCCTAGGCATTTCGAGACCGAGGAGGTTATTCTGCATCATTCACAAAAACAAGGACTTTATTTCTATTCTGTTATGTGTAGTTAGCAGCCCTAAAATACGACCGATTGTTTCTCCATAGAGAATAGAATCAGGTCACCAAAGAAACAAGAGGCCCAGGGGCCACATTGCTCACCTGAGCAAATCGGCTAAGAAAAAACACAAATCAGATCAGAACTAAAAAGTTTACTGAAGGGGGGGGGGGGGGGGGGCTTGAATTTAATACTACTTTAGAATGCCTTCATATTAATACAGCATATGACTTTGCTGTTCTTGATAAAAAAGTTTTTTTAAAAACATTTTCTTCCTATACTATCACTAATCATTGCTTTGAAGTACTTGAGAAGAAGATTTTCCTATAAATTCCTGTGTAAAACTTTGATCAGCCATTGTGACCCCATCCTACCCCCGGGGGTCATGATTTGAACAGACTTGAATCTACACTACCTGAGGATGCTTCCACATGAGTTTCATTTTATTGACCCAGTGGTTCTTGAGAAGAAGATTTTTTAAGATTTTCCCTATATACTCCTATATAAAACTTTGATCGGCCATTGTGGCCCCTCCCTACCACCGGGGGTCATGATTTGAACAAATTTGAATCTACACTACCTGAGGATGCTTCCAAATGAGTTTCATTCTTTTTGGCCCAGTGGTTCTTGAGAAGAAGATTTTTTAAAAATGTCATTAATTTTTCTTTAATTCATAATTATCTCCCCTTGGAAAAGGGCGTGGCCCTTTTTTTGAACAAACTTGAATCCTCTTCACCTAAGGATACTTTGTGGCAAGTTTGGTTGAAATTGGCCCAGCGGTTCTTGAGAAGAAAATGAAAATGTGAAAAGTTAATGACGACAACGACTACGACAGACAACGGACAAATTTTGATCAGAAAAGCTCACTAGAGCGTTCGGCTCAGGTGAGCTAAAAATGGAATGTTTGCAGTTATAGATATCTACTGAAGAGCCGAGGCAGTGCACATGAGATGAAGATTGTACGACAAAGGCATATCCCTGGAAATTATACAAAGTACTTCACCAAGAAAAGAATGCTAAATCTGGAAAAATGCATTTAAAGAACACTCACATAAGTTTCCAGACTGTGATGGTCTACTCGACTGGAATCAGCATGGGAAGGAAAAAAGAGGCCTGGCATGGATCCTTTCCATCCGATGTAAAAAGTGCCACTATACCAGTCACCGAGAAAAACTACAAAGAGGTGAGAAGATCTGGCTGGGGACGAAGAGCTGCACAGCTGAATGTGGCCATGGCTGTCGGTCACCTGGGTACCAGTCTTACAACAGAGGGTATGCATGGTATGCTTCTTGGTGCAAATATTGAACCAGCATCAACCACCAACAGACCTGCAACAAAGTGGTTCAAATTATCGCTAAAATATGAAGAAAATAAGGCCGAACATTCAAGAACTCAATGAAAAATGTGGACTACTTGATACCCTCCCCCATAAGAGTGTAAGTATATGCTCGGTACATTAATGTCACCTTTAAAACCATTGGATAAACCAAATTCCAAGCTGCCACCCAAGTGACATGAACCTTCAGTGAAAATGTAACTCAGAGGAAAATTGTTGTGAAAGTATTCTGTCGGAATACACAATCCAAACAAGAGGCCCATGGGCCACATCGCTCACCTGAGCACTAAGGGTAGGAAAAAAACTAAGGGTAGGAATCAAAGTACTGAAAGTACTCATGGGAGTTGAACATTGTTATCTGAAAGATCTCAAGGGAAGTATAGGAACAGTTTCATGCTTTCAGATTCAAGTCAGCTAGAACTGATTTGTTAGAGATACAACACGAAACATTAAAAAAAAATTTCTATTGCATTTGAATAGCCAAGATCATGGGACTGCTGTTAAATTAGCTGCAGAACTGCAGCTGTCCGAAAAAAGATTTTGACAGACCGGAGAGCTACAGTGCCATCCATTGAAAAAACTGTATATTTATTGCGCACGAACAGTTAAGTTTAGTTCTGGATTTATTCTTTCTAATTCTTACCTCAACAATTTGACCAAACCAAACAAACAACCTCCACCACAAAAAAAAAAAAATTTCCCAAACTCGAAAATACTATTTTGTGGGTAGGTTTCAAACTTCTTTCAGTACCATTTCTTACTCAAACTCAAACGCAACCCTTATATTTCTGAAGCATTTGAATCAAAACACCCCTACTCTCTTTAGAATGTGTACAAGATATTTGGTCCCAAGAAACAAACAAACAAACACTCTTTATATTCGATGTTACCATCACTAGACACTAGATTGTCATTTTTCTTCCTCTGATTAAAATAAGTATTTGTTATTCTCTTTTGGGTGTGAATGTTTCTTTTCGGACATAATAATTAATTTTTATAAAACTCCGTGCTTATCTATTTTATCAAATGTATCTTTATAACTTAATCATCAAGTTTTGTTATTCCATAATTTTAAATTTCATTTCAAGTAATTTCTATATAGAAGTAAGTATCTGAATACTTAACATTTTGTTTGTTTTGCGTTCGATAATTTTTCAATTATATTGGGAAACTACCACTTGTCGATGGAGCTAGCTACATGTAAGTCTACAAATTTTTACCTATACACGGCACTCAAAACCATTGAGTAGTGAGGGATCGTTTTGTGCAAGCACATACTGCGACATGGGATTTCAGTTTATATGGTCTCATCAAAAGAGTTTATCTCCAAATGCATCCCACAGGATTCGAACCTGCGACGTAAGGATCAATTTACACCTTACTTTGAATCTCTAGAGCAAACTCTTTTAACAACTGCGCCACGCGAGTGACACTTAAAGTTTGTGATTTTGATTTGATTCAAATGTAATTAAAAATCAGACATAGTTTAACGAGCTACTACAAGAAAAAAAACAGTTGTAATCATGAGAAACGATCTTTCTCACAGATCGATCATTGGGATTATTATACCATTGTGTCCGTGCATACGCATGTATTCATTAATTTTAACTGTTTTAATTATATAATAAAATCAAATGATACATTTTATAAGGTAATACTGCAATGCAAGTACATACACGATTTTTCAAGTTCAGATTTGGTGTTGTACACGTGACCAACTGAATGCTGATAAACTCATGAAATAAAGGATGTAAATTTAATGTCATTTGAAATTGTGAGATTAGAATATCAACAAACTTTAATGCTATTATTTTTTCCCTTTACCCACGTAAAAAAATGAGTTGCATGTATCTGGTCTGACAAACATTTTTCCAGTCTAACAGATCATTTTACTTGTCAGAGCAAATAAATGTCTGACAGTGATATTTTCCATAGTATTTTTTAAAAAAAAGTAACGTTGTTCTGTCTCTTTATTGCTGAAACAAATTGAAAGAAGTTCTGTTCGGTTAAACCTTAGCGTTCCTTTGACCTTACATCTTTGTTTACATCTCTATATTTAGACAATCGCGTCATTGTCAAACCAGTTAGACCAGTTGTTGCTCCGTAAACAAAACAACATACTAGATAAACGTAACTGCAATAAAATATAAACAAAGGTAATGCAAGATAACCAGCACGAACACGGGTCGCCATTCCACACCGATACCCGTGACAATAAAGCAGTCAGGTGTAACGAATGCGACGAGTATACCACAGTATTGATGTATCGTAAATAATGCTATCGAAAATGGCGTATGCCTATTTACGAGTCGTGTTCAGCTTTAATGTTCCTTAGGAATGGACCTGCTCCAAAAAATTTTACCTGGTCACTCATCTGGAAAATGTAGGTCAGAGCCAGCATCCGAAGCAAGTCTGGTAGTGTTCATCCCTATATGCATCATCCGTGCAAGTTTGTATCAACATGTGAAGTTTGATAACACCATCTTGAATGGTATGTTTAAAACCGAGCTAAACTCTAAGAAGTGGGGTCAAGGTCAAAGGAATCGTCAAGGTAAAATAAATGTTGATGCAGTTGCATAGCTCTCATCAATATCTATCAGCATATGAAGTTTGATGAAAATATTTTGGATAGATTCTTTGAAACTTAGCTTTAAACAGAGCTAAATGTAAAGTATGACGGAAGGACGGAAGGACAGAAGGACGGAAGACGGATATGACAAACACTATATGCCCCAGCCATATTCATGGCGGGGCATAAATATGCATTTTATTATTAAACAGAATATTATTTTCAGGTTTTAAATAGGCTATTAATACCAATGTATTTAACCTTTGTTTAGTTTGATTATTAATTATTATAGAGAGAATACATTTAATTAATTTTGCCATGCTTTTGTGTAAAGGTTAATAGGCATATTAAACACTGTTATGCCTCATTAAATCATCTTTCCCAAGGGCATACACTAGATAGATCTTAACCATTTTTCGAATATAAATAAAGGATAATTTCCTTAACAGAAAGTACAAAGTATGCAGAAATAATTACTAGCTTGAATTTTTAATTTAAACTATTTATGAGGTAGGCCCTTATGATACTGACATTTGTTATTGACTTGCATTCAGTACACAAACTTTGCCTTTTTCATGTGACTGTTCATTGATAGGACGTACTAAACTTCATACAGTACAGAGTGGACTACATACTATGCGATTTCCATAAGTATTTAAGTTCTGTGCTAATAAAACAGCTTAATAAAAATAAATTCAGTTTTGAAAAGGCCCCGTGTTTTGCACATCTATTTCACGTTGATTTCTCTCCTTAACAGTGATGCGATATGGAGATATCACATAATATTGTCTATGTATAGTTCCTATATAATCTATACAAGCACAAACAGTTCAAAACACTATGTATTCACTGGGTTTGACGCTGTATTCACTGGAGGGTCAGTGCGTGTGCAGCGGCATTGTGACGTCACAATAAACACCTCAAACAAGGTTGTAAACAATGGTTGCAACAGCCTCAGCCCACTTATATATGTATCGTCGGAGGCCCTAAATTTGTTACGGTCCTAGAGTCGTGCACCTTTATTACTGCATATGTTAAGAATTTCAAAGAAAATATTTGATTTTTTTTTTACGTCTTATCTCAAGTGTATTGGTGTTACGGCACGCATTATTTATGTAAAGTTAACAATGCTATGGCACGCATTATTTATATAAAGTTAACAAAAGTCACATATGTCCGATTTGGAATTTTTGGGTCTGTATTATGTAATTTCCACTAAGGTCATGACCCTAGGACCTGTGTTTCAAAATGGCGTCAAGATCAGTACTTTGAACGAGATGTAAACAATCGATAAAGGCATGATTTTTTAAACAGGTCGAGACCACTACCTTATATGGAAGGCAATTATTTACACGTGACAATGTTTTTGTCACGCCCGTTCTCAATCAAATGAAAGAGTCCCAAAGCATGACAGTCTACTACGTGTTTACGATTCAATGGCGACATGTGGTTTCGTCTGTTTACTGCACAAAAGTTAACTTGTCACCGGAAAAACTGTAGAGCTTCTTTTTCACTTTATTTGACAGAAATTGGAAGATTATATTCTAAAGACATTGCTCCATGCTCACATTTAATATTGGAGTAACTGTTGTTTTAGATGATTAATAGTTGCTTCGAATACTGTACAAACACTTTGACGTTAGCATGTACCTAAATCACTTTCTGATTATATTGAGGGGTTAAATATTAATTGCACACCTTCTCCTGTTGTATAAAACCAAGGACATATAAACTATCTGCTAAAACTATGTACATGTACATGTATATCACGTGAAAAAAAACAATGTTTTATTGACACGATGGCATTCACCTACGTCTCTTTGCTCGGAACAATAATGCCACCTTCAGTGCTATTGGGAAAACCCCATTCCAAGCTGCCACCCCAGTGACGTATACCAGTGAAAGTGAACCCAGAGGAAGAATGTGGTAGCAGTTTTCTGTGGTAATAAACTATGTAAGAAAGGCGCACACCTATGAAGCAAAGGAAAGGAAGTTACTTGCCCAGGACATGAAGACTGCACAGCAACCATTCCTCTGGAGACCACCATTGGAGACGAGAAGAGATGGGCCGCTAATTGTGTTGGTGAGTTACAAAGTGATGACCGGCCACTAGTCATATCCCTTTTCATCAGTGATGGAGACAGTGCTGCTGCATCTGGTGCATCTGAAAAACAAGGACATGTGATTGAAAACCTTAAGGACTCGCGTCACTTCTTTGACTCTCAAAGAAAACAGACTCTTAAGGCTACATTCAGCAGTCATACGTTTCCAGGAAGAACCAAGGCCATAAGAGAATCCATGCAGAGAAGATTTGCCTTGGACCTGAATCTTCGATGCAGGACAGAGTACGAGAATTGCTACAAACACTACTCCGGCAACTTAATTACCTTTGATGAAGCGTGCTATGTTTACTGCAGTTGGCTCCCTCATAAACTGCTACCAGGGACAGTGCGGAAAGTCCTGTCAACTCTTTTCCTTTTCCTGTCGTGGACTGAAAAGCAATAAGTGGAAATCTTCAGTGTTGCCCAGTGACTTTGAATTAAATATGACAGAAAAAGACAAATGTTTGTTAAAAGACTGTATAAATTTGACTTTAGGACAAATTAATCTTGATAGAATCGAATATCATACTTGCACACAAAAATCTGAATCTGTAAATAGAGCGCGCCATATTTAAAATCAAATCCAAAATGTATTACAAGTAGTAGAAATTTTGAAAGTAGAATACATAAAGTTGTGCACTCACTGAATAGGGGTCATGGAAACTCAACACTGGAACTTTGTGAATCTGTAGGGGCACCTGTTGTAAAAGGAAGTAGAGAGGTCCATCATCTAAAACAACAACAAAATAGACAAAATTATTTTAAAATTAAACAAAAACTGTTAAAATATAAATCTCAAAGAAAATACTACGCATACAGATCTAAAAGATATCAGCTGTACAATAAAAAAAATCTTAAGAAACTTAAAGTAAATCATTGACAGATCCAAAAATTAAAAAGGAAGTTGTAGGACTGTAAGGGAGTGTGGGGGGTTAATGATATGTACATGCATTTCAAATGTTTAAAATTTGTATCTAAAATATATATTTTGTGAACTATATTACATGTAATAATTTTTTTTCTGGTTCATTGTGCATTAATTATTTTCAACTGTGTATAACTTGGGAAAATGTGAACATGTGAATAATGTATTACTGTAATGTGTAAAATGTGACAGTTTCTAATATGAGAGAGTCTGTTCATGTAAAAACGTTATATTTTTTATTATTAAGCTCATTAAAATTATTTGAATTAAAAATCTTGTTTTTCTTACCTGTTTGATGAACACAACAAAGGTTACAGATGTGATTGATAGAAACAAGGATGTCAAAACTGTCTGTTGATGACAAGACTGCATGTCGTATTGTTTATCCACCATTACTGATCTTTTCAAGGGGAGACAACTCCTGAAATCAGAAAAATTTGACTGAAAATGAGAGTTACCTGTCCCTCTTCAGGTTTAAAAACGTTTATCCATACGCACATCTATGGTGACATAGCCTCACGAAGAATTTTGACATTTTCAGTTATATATTGATTGTTGTAGAGTTTTTCTTTCTCTTTCATTTGATGTATAACATGGCATATATTTTTGTATATAAATGTATAAAATATCGCATAACAAAGACGGCATATTTACTTTGCCGTACAGTGTACAAGTGCGTAACTGCATGGATTTTCATAACGTAAAATCGAAAATAAAAGCTACCTAATAATTTGATGATACTTATATTTTCAAACTTTTGATTTGATTCCCTTAAAAATAAATAATTAAGATTTTTCATTGCTATAAAAATAAATATAACATTCTAAACTATTTTTAAAAAGGAAAATTGACAGAACAAAACTCAAATCAAAAATCTTCTCCTCCTCTAAAAGATATTCCAATTTATGGCTTTTATAATCCAAAAAAATGGCAGAAATCTACATCATTGCAACAGTAAAAGGAAATAAGCAACATGTACATGAAAAAAAACCCTATTATGGTAGTAAAAACAATATTCAACAAGCTTCCATAGCCTGGTGGGTTAAGGAAGGCTTATGCTCAATCGGTATAGAGCACTGGACTGGCAAGCCAGAGGCCTCGGGTTCAATCCCGATTACCCGGTTAGCAGGGGCACTTAATTGTATCTGTTACATTCTCAAAGTAGTTATCTTAAAAAAGTTCCAGACAGCCCTTATCAGTCCAAATTTAATACGGAAATTAAAAGTTTGTTCAATACCAGAATAAAAAGAAAAATGTCATAGTTTGCATTTTAAATGCATGTACCTGGATTTTTAAAAGTGCAATAGGTTGTTTTTATCTAAAGGCTACCATAACATATATAGCACAAGTTTATAATTGATAAGTTTCAAATGTTTTAATTAAAATGTATGCAGAATTATGAACTCATTATAGCCTTTGTGGCTTATTTATATTCTCTTAAATTTTATTTGTCTCTTGTAGTGCAGTTCGATCCTTTTCTTCTTTAAAATCATGAAAGAATGATTGTATAATTTGGAAAATTACAAAAAATGAGTAATCAAACTTCATGTTTTTCTTGAGAAAGAACATGCACACAATGATTTATTTTAATCATATCAAATACTAGTTGCCTGTTAGTATAGGTAAAAGCCAGGCACGTATAGCAACAAGGGGGTAGAGGGGTAGGGGGCCTTCCCAACTTTTTATCCCAACATTACTTTTATTAAAATGTTAATTGAAATTTCCCCCCCCCAAACTTCTTAGCATTGTGTGCCTAAAAATTGATACTGAAGAAAGTAAATTATTGGAAAAAGTTGTCCCTCCTTGAAATAAGATTTTAGGACTTTGGGAAATGCCTTTTTGTTAGTCAACTTTTTCAGGTAAGTAAACAAAAAAAAATTCTCTGGCTGCCCCCCCCCCAACTTTTAAAAACGATGCTACGTCACTGCATGCTTGTTCAAATCGCAACAGAAAGTAAGAGAACGGGTAAAACATTCTTAATATTCTTTCATTATCGGGGCGTCGACTATGGACATTCACGCTTAATTAATATATAAACTAATTAAAGAAGAACAAGGCACACATTTACAATAATTTTAATTTTAGTTATTTCTAAAAAATAAATTAATATTGTTTAAATTGAAACATTTTAATTTATACATATATATTTTTGGATAAACGTGAAGCTGTGTGAATGGGTTAGTTGATCAAGCACGCAATATTCAAGCTGATCACTTTTGCAGGAAAAAATAATGAAATTGTTTAAATTTGATACATGTATTTATCAAATTTCGTGTAATTGATAGTTATCTTCCATAATTTGAAATGCATATATTCATTTAATTCCAATTCAACAGAAGGAAATAAGATTATTATTCTATTTTCCAAGGTATAAATGTTAATTATAAAATGTTGGTTGTAAAATCTTTATCGGGGATATAATTATTACAGGTTAAATACTGAAGGTTAAATTAAATCATTACAAAGAAAATTCATAACTTCTAAAATGTTTAATTGAAACTTTTACTGCATTGATGTTCTAAGTTCAGAGGGCTAAATGAGCACTGGCGACTGCGTTAATACATGTAACAGCTTGATTCAGCAATATTATAAATGGCCGACATTATGCTGTTTCAGGAATCCAAAACTTTAAAGTCATCTCTTCACCGTTTTTTTTCTTTGGTAGATAAACCATGCTCATAATAATAATAGGTTGGAATGTTTTAAAAAGTGTTCAAACAATTTGTGTTAATTTGTTACAATTTGTATTAGATCTAAGTATAACATTTAGCGATGTATTATGTTTGCCGGTTTCACATCCGATGTACATGTATTATCAGTGTGTATAACCTCAGCAAACGGATTATGAATACTGTAAACGTATTACATTTAGCGGTGTATTCTATTTAGCGATTTTTCGGAAAGTAGTGTTATATATCGCTAAATGTCTTGTATATTAACTTTTATAACTAGCAAACTTAGAACTAAATCAAATGCAACTTGTTGAAAATTATTTCCACCAAATATACACGCCAAATATATACATTTACAGTACACAATAGTTCAGCAAAATGACGGAAAGGTCGATAAACATATGTCCAATCTGTTTTATTATCTCGATCATAAAATATTTAAAGTCGGAATGTAACTTTTAAATGTAATAGCACCCGTATATTCACGACAAAATTTGCACGAAGTCACCAAAGAGATGGAGCAGACACGTGACACAGGAGAAGAAGGGGGTCCGAATTTTTTTTTTTTTTTTTTTTTTTTAGTGTACAACATAAGAGGGTATTAAACATTACAACAATAACAAAATCAATTGAGAAGCTCAAGAGGCCTTTCTTCAAAATATTTATTTTAAATCAACGGCTAATAACTAATTCCAGAAGAAGTATCCAAATCAAAACTCTTTGTTGTATCAAAAAATTACATTTTTTTAACTAGACGTAACTGTTTATCAATATCCTTGGCAAGCTATCAAAGATTATACACATGCACATGTACAGTTCTTACATCTTGCACAGAAAAGAACAATAAACAACGATGCATTTTTCTAACTTACATCATCTACGGAAGTGAACAGATAAAAAATAAATATTTTAATTCTGGTTATAACGCGGTATTTGGTTGGATAAAGAAATTACTTTTTATTGCAAAAAATGCATGGGTTAACTATGTCACAATCACATGCGAAAAAAATCATATCGATGCGCCTGACGTTTTATTTCAATATTGTACAATTTGAAGTGATTTTAAATGAAAATTGACTTTTTTCATACACTAAATGAAGAAAAATTAAATTATAAGGAATTAAATTCATAGCTTCCCAATTTATACGGTATTAACTGTGTTGGAACACTTTACACTTTTTTTTAAAATATGAACTTCACTGTTTACTGCCCCAACTCAGTTTATATCATATAAATTGGGTAGCTATTAATTAAATTCATTCTTTAAATAAAAGAGAAGTAATTTATGTCATTTTTCAATGCATCTATTAAAAAAGAATACTTTTCTTAGTTTAATGCTACTGTTTACTTTTTCTTGCATATGCATAACGATGAAACAGCTGCATATTATATTTTTAAAAAAAAAACTATCTATAAATACTTGTCTGTTTGACCTTTTAAGATTAACCGACTAAAATCTTTTTAAAACCTCCAAAATATTCATTCCGGAATTTTCTCATCCCATCAACAACATGCGCGGATTATTGAATTTACCAGGTTAAAAAATGTATATACTAAAATAAGGAAAAAGTTACCATGGACCCCCCCTGGAAAACGCTGACCCCCCCTGGTAAACGGGAATATGTGTGAAATGGGTATGAATAGTGAAAGATTTGAGTAAATACTAAGAAGTCACCACTATCCCCCCCCCCCCCCCCCCCCCCCCCCCCCCCCCCCCCCCACGAAATAGGTTTTTGACGATTGGGCAAGTTAATGTTTTTTTTTTTTTTTGCTTGTCAAAAAATTTCTGGGATTGGAATTTTTTTTCTGACTGGGGTGGACCCCCCCTGGAAAAAATTTCAGATCCGCGCCTGAACAACTATTTTTTTTTTATTTCAGAAATGCCTTCAATTTTATTCAACATTGAAAATTTCTGACAAAAAATTTCGACCTACCTATACCGACGCAATTATTTTAACCCGAATAGTGAGGAGCAAACAAATTTCATTTTAAAAACGGCTTTACGGGAAGTTTTTAACCACGACTGGACATCTATAATAATATACACTTAATATCACACAGACACTTGACGGAAACTATCTTCTTAAAGAATGAACTACATCAAACCACACCCAAAAATATTCTTTTAGCATATAAATAATCTCCTTGTTTTGCTGGGGTATAATTTCTCAATTCTCTTGAGGTGGCTTTTTATGTCGATTTTACCTTGTTGACTTTAGACGCGTCTTTTGAATCATAATTAGATAAGGGAGGTTTTTGCTTGGCGCGTCACATTTATAAATAGATACGCATTGCTTTCAGTAGTGTTATATATAAAGGAAAACATTTGCAAATGTAAATATTTGACTATAATATAGACTTGAAGCATCTAATTCATGAAAAAGAAAATAAAGATTAATTCTTATTATAAGCAAAAATTTTAAATCAGAATTTAAAAATACACCTTATGCAGCTTTAAAGAAAGAAATTTGACTGTAAACAACATCCTTACCCCAAAATACCCGTGGGTTTTACATGTTGACAAACAGCCTAAACACCATCCAGGAATCTGCTTCATGTTCACCTGCAAAAAAAATTCAGTGGAGTAATTCTGCTAAAAATATGATATTCCTAGTTTGAGTCTAAATGAATACTGTAGGCCTCAAAAAAAGATGCCAAAAATGAAAAAATAATAAAAATACTGTATAGGGGATTAATTTCACGGGTTGTAATTTTCACGTTTTTCTCTCATCTGACATGTTCGCGGATTCTTGAATTCGCGGAATTGGTATATAATAAAAGTTGCTTCCTTTGTCTACATCTGTTTAATCCATACTGGTCATAGCTACATGTAAACGACATCAATCAGCGTTATGTCTTTATTTCATGAACAGGGTAGGTTAATATAAAATTGTTAGATTTAATATTAATAATTAATTAAAACAAGTGCAGTTATTAAAAGTTCTTCACTCTCAACGTCAAATGACTTTCCTATAGATCGATGCTATTACGATGAGTGCATGTGCACCCAGGATCTTCAATACAATTAACGTGACAAAAAACCACTGGTCGTAAGCTCAATATTTATTTGAACGATCTTTTAAAACCAAAATGTCGATAAAAACCAATATGGATGATAATGCTGGTAACAAATACACATGGTAACATTTATATATGTTACGCACGGGTAATCAAAACCCATGGCCCACGTGTTTTGATTGAGGACAAACACAGGTTATTATCTGCTGATTTGAATTAAAGTAAAGCGTGATAATTAAATGACAAGTACTACTCGTAATTACTAAAATGGCCATGTACTGTATGTACATGCATATCAACCTATCGTAGTATATTCTCAAATTTCCAAATAAAACATCGAGATTATTGAAAATCTATTCACAGTTTCTTGAATTCACAGATTTATTAACACCGTAAATATAGCGAATATTAACAACGCGAGTTATTTACCCCTATACAGTAGTCTCTTTACATATATAATTACAATTGACAAAGTTAATTTTGATTGGCTTTTTCCTTGCATAAGACCTATATAGCTATAAGAAGGGTGTCAGTACAGATCAAATTATGCCTGAATCAACACCAGTCCTGTATCTTATGCACTGTCAAAGACTATGGTAATTATCTAAAAACTTTTCCCGTAAAAATGTAGTACCTTTGGCACTGATCATCAGACAGATGTATTTGGACATGATTGGTTTAAATGGCTTCTGTCCTCCGGAATGTAGTACTTTCTGGACATCACCTGGACTTGGGGTCCCTCCAGGATCTAAAATATATTCTTCTTTCTTATAATTCATGAAATGATGGATTACTGCATATGCAGAAGTTTTAGCAGGGACCTATTTCAATATATATAGCAATATCTAAGATTGAAGTTTTGGTATTACTTATGAAGTTGAGATAGCTAAATTTGAACATAACTAACAATACATTCCACTTACAAGTTACATTACTATTGTGCATCTAGGCAACATTAAATTGATAAAATTTAAATCTTATTTCTAATATTAATCATAATATCTTGATTGACTGTCTTTTAATTTTACAGAAAAAGTCAATTTGCAAGATCAATTTAATTGCATAAAACTTAAGTATTCAGAACTTCCTTATAATTAGAAGTTTTATAGACACATACTGGCAAAAACTGGGTATGGCTTTATCTTCTTCGACAGGGGATGCTCACTCCTCCATGACACCTGATCCCACCTCTGGTGTTTTGGAGGTCCATGTTGGCTCTTGATCTGCCCTTGATTTGTATTGTTTATCTGGATCGACTTTTGAGCTCTTTTTGTTGAGCTTGAATACTGTTCTTTATCTCAATGTCTAATGTATTCCGTTTTCTTTTCTTCCACAGTAATGGCATTATTGTCTTAGATAAATAATAATTTGAACATAATATAACCTGACCCATCCAAGATTCATTTCAACTTTGATAGTTGTCTTTGTTTAAACAGAGGCCGACATTTACAGTATTCTTTCAAGGGCACCTATACATGTAATAATTTTCTCCACTCAGTGGTAATATTAATTTTTAGTAAACTCATATAATGCACAGAAAATGCTTATTCAGAGTACAAATTATTATGCTATATTCCAGCCAGGTCAAATATACATTCCAATAATCTTAGATCATGTATGCATAAAAATAATGTGTGCAATATAAATTAAATTTAGTAATTGTGATCAGATATCAAATACATGTATATCATAATAAACAGTTTAATTATAACCATAATGCTAATTCTTCACAATGGTATATGAAGTACAAGAATGCATTTACATATATACAAACTACAAAGTCAAGTCAGGAAGAGTTACAAGTGTCAAATAAGAAAATAGTTACTGAAAGCTGAGCTAGGCCAATATCTTCTTAGCAAACAAAGACAGCTTTATCAGTGAGTCAACATTTTATTGTGATGGACATAATTTTTCTTAAACTTTATTTTAAGTATTAACATGAGAACAACACTAAATCTTATCAATAAGTTTCCAACATGATGAAAATATGGACATTCCATTATTTACATAATGAAATTCATCCCTAAAGCATTTTTATTACATATTAATCAAATTACATATTCTTAAAGATCTACCAGTGTCGATTGGAAGTTTGAGGTTACAAGTTTAAAATTTAAATTAATTGTTAATACAATTCTTAAATATTTTTATCTATGCTCATAATTATGCCAGTCTTGTAAAAAATTGATCTAATAGTATTTCTTTCAACATGATAATAGATTTTATCCATGTAATACTGAATGAAATTTTGATTCATCCACACATAAGACAGACCGCACAAATTCAAGATATCTCTTAATAAAAAATTTAGCCCAATAAGTAATCATTCGTAACTTTATGCGTATCAAACTTTAGGATATCGCGCAGTTTCCCCATACACCAAATTTTTTGGAGTACTTCACTTAACAATTGTAATACAAATTTCTCAAGTCTTAAGTGTACCTTTTATAAGATATCAATGTTTTTGTAGCTAACAATAAATTAATCCATGAAAATAGTTAAGTTCTTGATGAAAAAAAAACATTATGTAGTTACTGTCTTGAACCTGAATAGCAAAACAACCTATAAAAATCAAATCCAATTTAATGAGAAAATCGATCATTGTTACTGCATTGAACCTAGAAAAAAAAATACAAGTTTCACGAAGCCGATTATAAAAAAACCTAAATTGATGCAAACCAGGTTGTAATCGAATAATTTGGCACAGAATTAGAGTCATTCCTTATAAATTAATTTTTAAATAATTAAACAACTGGTGATGTAAATACTGTGGTGCTTTTTATGAGTCCAAATTTGCCGCTCAATAATACATCCCTAATAATGGAAGTGATTTGAAACAAAGGGACGTAATAACTGATACACAGATCCAGCAGCCATGATGTTTGTTTACATGAGGTAAGATTGGGCTAATGTTTGAAGTTAAAGGTACATTAAATCTGGAATTTTTTATGAATCCCATGGACTGGAAATGAGAGGATTGCATTGATACAAATGATTCAGCTGGTTGTGAAGGGGGTGTGTCCCCATACCAAACCAGGTTATTGAGAAATAGTTTGCATTCTTTTTTTGGAAATCAACCAATGAGAGACTACAATATCAACAAAATTAAATTATTGAAAAATACATTTATTACTGTCCTAAACCTAAAAACAAAGCACAAAGAATTAGTTCCAATTTCTAGGTGAAAAAAACAACAACATTATATTTAATTATTTGTCTTGAACCTGATTACAAAAAACACAATGCAAACTAGTTCAAAAACTTCTATTAGAAAATACATTGATTTACTGTCTTTTAACCTGAAAAAAATCTAAGAAAATAAGTTCCAATTGCAAAGAGGAAAAACATTAGTAACTGTCTTGAACTTGAAAAATAAAACAAAAAATATAAGTTCCAAAATCAATGAAAAATAAATTATAATTTCTGTCTTGAACCTGTAAGACAAAACACACAATCTTTGAAAAAAAAATTTCCAATATTGAAAGTAAATTAATTATCTGTATTCAACATGAAAAAAAAAATCACAATCTTTGAAAAACATTTAATAGCAAAACATTAATCATTGTCTTGAACCTGAAAAACAAAACACGCAATTTATGCAAATAAGTTCCATTTTCTAGGAAAAGATACATAATCTGTCTTGAAACTAAAAAACAGAAACAAAATCTTAGAAAATTTATTGTTATTAATTCTTCCTGCTATGAGAAAATATATATTAATTAGTTGTCTTTAACCTGAAAAACAAAGCGAAAAATCTATGAAAGTTTAGTTAGAGGAAATTCAGTAATTACTGATTTGAATCTGGAAAACAAAGCACAAAATCTTTGAAAACTTAAGCTTCAATTTCTAAGGATTCAATACCCTGGTACATTAGTTACTGTCTCCAGAACCATGAAAAACAAAGAAAGACAATCTCTGAAAAATATAGTTCCAAATTCAATGAGGAAATACATTAATTTCTGTATGGCACCTGATAAACAAAAAAAACAAAAAAAAAAAAAAAAAAAAAATCATGGTTAGTTCCATGCAATTCCTATAAGAAAATATAATAACTGCTGTCTTGAACCTGAAAAACAAAACAAACAACAATAATTTGAGTCTTGAACCCAAAAAACAAAACAAACTACAATAATTACTCTTGAACCTGAAAAACAAAACAAACTACAATAATTAGTCTTGAACCTGAAAAACAAAACAAACTACAATAATTAGTCTTGAACCTGAAAAACAAAACAAACTACAAAAATTAGTCTTGAACCTGTAAAACAAAACAAACTACAAAAATTAGTCATGAACCTGAAAAACAAAACAATAAACCTGAAAAACAAAACAAACTACAAAAATTAGTCTTGAACCTGAAAAACAAAAAAAAAAAACTACTAAATTAGTCATAAACCTGAAAAACAAAACAAAGTAGAAAAACTTATCTTGAACATGTTGAACCTGAAAAAAAAAAAAAAAAAAAAAAAACCTTTAATTTTCCAAATCAAAAAAAAATAAACTTTTTTTTTTTTTTTTTTTTTTTTTTAATTTAAATCGTTTTTTTTTTTTTTTTTTTTTTTTTTTTTTTTTTTAAATAAACATGCAAGTATTCATAACTATATGAACAACTAACTTAGAAAATGCACAGACAGACAGGTGGGATGAGACTGACGGGGTGTCCACAAAAAAAAGGGGGAGGGGAAAACATAACACATGCAACACAGCTCTATATGCTATAAAGCACCTGCTTCCTTATTCTATACAGGATAAATGAAACAATATACCACAAGAATGGAATGATGGGAAAAAAGACATGCAATATACAACACGAAAAGACGTATGCTTCTGCATTGCCCAACAAGATGGAATACACATGCGATAAGACATCTAAATGAGAAAAAAAATCCACAAATTACAAGATACGAGCACGATACAACAGGATACACATGACAAGATACCGATAGCTTAAATACATAATATGATAGGATATACACAATATATGACGGTTTGCAAATAAAGAAGCAGGTGCTGTTTATGTATAAATTGCCTCTGTATGATGCTCCTCAAAGCATTATGTATAAACTCTGTCCAATCAATGAAATCATTCTAAATAATCATGGCAGTAGCAACGGAAATAACTCAAGTGCATTTCATATGCATCAAAAGAAGCTTAATGCATCTTTTTCTTCAAAGAACATACATAGACACTGGGTTTCTCATCAGAAACTATGAACAAAAACCAACAGACGGAATCTAGGTCAATGTAGCTCAGATGACATCAGCAGTAGCACCTGACTGATCAAGTACATGTGTACTCAAGATACTAAAGAAAACCTGTTTGCATAAACAGGCACAGAAACATAGGCACCCTCAGAATATTTCAAACGACATGAATGACACATCAATAGTTTTACCTTCATTGCAAGTTTGGAATAGAACCCAAAAATATAAACAGTTAGTTCAGAGGGAGTCATTCATCATTAAATTCCAAAAAAAAAAAACAAAAGGCTTGATTACCATAATTTAGCAGGAGCAGAGGAGGGGAAAGGAATTTACTGAAAACAGGGAATAAATATTATGAAAAAAAACCCAGATACTTATATCCCATTATTGCAATGCCTATAATGGCGGTGTGTGTATGAGTGATTCATTTAGACATTGCCTTCATCAGATTACACCTAATCATAACTTAAATGATAAATCAGTGATAGGCTATGTCTGGGAAATAATTACTATAAAGATGATAGGGGGCTCGAATGCCAACTAAACAGGGAGGGAGGGGAATTTACTTAAAACAGGGAATAAATATGACAAAAAACCTAGATACTAATATCCCATTATTTCAATGCCTATAATGGCGGTGTGTGCATGATTGATTCATTTAGACAATGCATCCTAACCTTAATTTAATTAATAAATTAGTGATAAGCTATGGCTGGGAAATAATTACTATAAAGATGATAGGGGGCTGAATACCAACTAAACAGGGAAGGAAGGGAATTTACTTAAAACAGGCACTTAATACTTAAATAGAGGTCAATGGTAAGAAACCATTGTCAATGTAGTTAAATGACAACCCTAGCACCTAACTTATTAAGTACATGTGTACTAAGGGAAATAAAGATAACATGTAACAGAATATTTTAAACAACATGAATGACACACTAATAGTTATACATATGGATCACTGCAAGTTCAAATGGAATAGAACCCAAAAACATATGATGCAATCAACTATAGTTCAGATGAGTCATTAAAAAGAAAAAGTGAATAAATTCAAAAATAAAACAATAGGGCTGAACCGATTGATTAAGCAGGGAGAGGGGAAAGGAATTTACTTAAAACAGGGAAACAATATGAAAAATACCTAGATACTAATATCCCATTATTGCAATGCCTATAATGACGGTGTGTGCACGAGTGAAATTCATTTAGACATTGCCTTCATAAGATAAAACCTAATCTAACTTAATTGATAAATCAGTGATAGGCTACAGCTGGGAAATAATTACTACAAAGATGAGAGGGGACTGAATACCAACTAAACAGGGAGGGAGGGGAATTTACTTAACATTGCATTCTTAAGATTACACCTAACTTAACTAATTATAAATTCAATGC